GAGAAGGACCTGGGCTAGGCGCCAGGGGAATCCTAACACTTGAGCCTGAGGTCGCGTAGTTTGCATTCTGGTAAACGCGTTGGGAGATCTGAGCCGCACTCTCACGGCCGGACTCAAGTAGAATGCTGCCTTGTTCACTGCCATAGGGTGGGGGCGGTGCGAGGCTACCAGTCATGGGAGCCAAGCCCCATTTTTTGACATTGCCTTCGATGAATACAAATCCCATTTGGCCAAAGTTCACATGGATAGTGCAAGGCCCGTTGGCACCGATGGTGGGGAAGAGGTTTTGGGAGCGATAGTTGTGAGCCACATCTTCCAATTTCTTGCCGTTGCGTGTGAAGAAGACGGTGCCGGATCGAGGTCGGTAGCCTACACCAACAACATCGCCCTGAAGGAGTGGAGGCCCGTATGGAGTGGGGGTAAATGGTTGATTGAGTCGACGATGTCCCGTAGATTGGTAGGCAACAGAGGTTTTATGGAAGCCTAGCGGTTGTTAGCGGGAATTCCTCGGCAGAAACACTTCTGCAACACATACCAGGCATTCGGAATAGGGGATATGGTTTCGTAGTCACACCGATGCCGATCATAGTCGATTCAGGCTTGTCGTATATCTTTGCCTCCCAGTAGTAAACATCATTCTGCTTAGGGATTGGCAGGTTGGTCTGTACACTGCACTCCGAGTCGAAAAACTCAATTTCTGTTCGTCCTTCCACAAAGCAGTTTGCAATTTCCAGCTCTGGTTGGAATTCCCAGGCGGATACACCCTTTTCTTGGATTGCGAGGAACTGCGATAGGGAGATGTCGGTTTGCAAGGACTCGGGAGGGTTTCCTTGGACAAAGGCTGCAGACGATTAGCAAAATGATCAAGCGACTCGCACGAAAATTCATCTCCAGTCTTACCTTTTGCTCGCAAATACTCCGATCGCGCCAAGTCATCCATTGACTCTAGAGCCACCTCTTCCTCGCGCAAGAAGGCCTGCTCGTCATCGTATTCACCGGGCCTGCCAATGCGATCGAGCATAATCCGCCCCCGGCGGGTATATTTGAAAAAGAAAAAGATCGCTAGAACAACAAATGCGACGGCAGCTGAGCCAAATGCAGACAAGATCCCAATCAAGATGCCTTTGCCGGTTGACCCGCTCGAGTTGCCACTTGCCAGCATAGGCTCGGGACGAAACTCCATCGACAAAGAGGACAGCACATTTTGTAGATTCGCTTGGATTTGTTGCCGCGAGAGTGACAGATCGCTTTGAATGGGTGTCGGTGATGGTAGTGTCGAGGAGACAAAGCCAATCGGTGACGTCGTCGGGTTGCCTATTACCGTGCTCAGGGTTGATGGCAGGCCTGCGAGCGCATCGGGGCTCGAAGCCTCAAGACCCTGCATCGTTCATGTGTCAAGTGACAGCACAAAGAAGAAGAAAAAAAAATCACGAGAAGTCGGGAAGTAGTGAGTGAAGTGTGCAAAGAGGAGGCGAGAGAGAGAGAGAGAGAGATAAGTGGGCGGGATGAAATGGGCGGGTTCCAAGTTATCTAAGACGTTTTCGGCCGTGGACTAGAGCCATGCACTAACAATGCAAGGCAATGTATGTTGAGAGTTGGTTCCTGGACTGAAGATCCGGGATTCTAGAATGTTGAAAGAATCTATGTCTTTGTGTCTTTGTCTTAGAGAAACTAACTTTTCATTTAGAAATAGCTGTGATATTAGTACTCCGTATGTTGTAGTGTCACCGATATGTCTATCTATCCCTAGGATAAGCCCTTCTCTCCTCTTCCCCTCTCCTAGCTCCTTACTGGAATCCCTCTCTCCCCTCTCTCTTTATACCATTCCTTAGATTCGAAGATGCGTGCAAATAGAGGTGCCCAGGGGTCTACGGCTCAGGACGTCATGATCAGTTCCCTCGACTCCTATAATATCCGCGTAGTGACACCTACCTCCTGCGATAAATACCCAGGTCAGTACACTTCTCCCTAGAGCGAACATTGCAAGGTCGGAATGCCTTCATTTGCCTTCATTTGCCCTCCTTTACTTTCTCACATACCTGTTTGCTACTCCACCGAACCCCCGATCGGTGATCGTGAGACTCGAGCTGACTTGACCGCCCAGCCAAGCACCATGCACGTAACGTCGCCCGGAAGCTTGGAGCTTCGAGTGGCTTGATCTTTCTCTCCGGACAGCCCACAATTAATCTGCGCGACTCCGATCAATCGCGCCCATTCCGACAACGACGATACTTCTACTACCTGAGCGGAGTCGACGAGCCCGACTGCTTCCTGACGTACGATATCGAACAAGACCTGTTAACTCTTTATGTCCCGGATTTCGACCTCCGCCATGCTATTTGGATGGGACCGACCCTCTCACGGGAGGATGCGCAAGACCGATATGACGTGGACCATGTACGGTATCAGAGCTCGCTCAAATATGAGCTGCAGGCGTGGCTGGACAAGCGGAAGCAGGGCAGCGAGCTGTACCTAATCCATGACTCAGAAAAGCCCGAGCATCTACCAAAAGACCTGCCTCTGAATGTGGAACAGCTCGGGCCTGCTATGGACGCAGCCCGAGGCGTCAAGGACGAGTATGAAATCCGGATGATCCGCCAGGCCAACAAAGTCTCGGGACTTGCCCATCGGCGAATCCTGGAGAATATCCAGACTATGTCCAACGAGTCGCAGATTGAAGGGTCGTTCTTGAATACCTGTATCTCGCACGGCGCCCGGAACCAGGCATACCAGATTATCGCAGCATCGGGGCCCAACGCGGCTGTCCTGCACTACGACCGAAATAACGAACCTCTCAGCAAGAAACCCCTTGTCTGTCTCGACGCCGGCGCAGAGTGGAACTGCTATGCAAGTGATGTGACGCGGACCTTCCCGCTTACCGGCGAGTGGCCCAGCGACTACGTGCGGGATATCTATAAGCTGGTCGAGCGGATGCAAGAGGAGTGCATCCAGCTGATTCGAAAAGGGACGCGCTATCTATCTCTCCACGATCTTGCTCATGACATCGCGATCGAGGGTCTCCTGGCTCTGGGCGTGTTGAAGAACGGCACGAATCTCGAGATCCGCCAATCCGGCGCATCCAAAGTATTCTTCCCGCACGGTTTGGGTCATCATGTCGGCCTTGAAGTCCACGACGTGTCGGAGCGGTCGATCATGGCTCTTCACCAGGGGTTCGATCAGCTTCAGTATCGCCCGATCTTGGACTCTACCTGTCTTTCGCCGTGCACTCTTTCCGCCCCGCTGCTGGAAGAGGGAATGGTTGTGACCGTTGAGCCAGGGCTCTATTTCTCTTCTCTGGCTTTAGCCAACGCGCGCCACCAGCCGTCTGCCCGGTACATTGATTTCGACGTTGCGGAAAAATACGTTCATATTGGTGGAGTGCGCATTGAGGATGATATTCTCGTGACTGCGACTGGGTACGAGAACCTCACCACTGCGCCAAAGGGCGAGGAAATGCTTGCCATCATTAGAGGATCTGCATAGTGTAGTATTAAGTACGTTAAATAGCGGAGATATCCATTCGTATTAGGTTCAACAGGCTACAATCTATCCCGTTTCCGTTGGGCACTACATAGAATGTGAGCCCTATGTGGGAGTTACAAGACCTGGTCGGGCACAACTAAAGAAAATATCACACCGCCAGTTTTGTAGACTTGGCAGCAAGCTAACGGATGTCCAAAGTGTCACTATACAAGACCATAAACAAAGCCAGCTGAGACGGGCCGCATCGCAACCCGGGATTGCATCGGGACTCGGCAATCCTAGGGGTAGGATAGATAGTACAACATAGGATATGGCACGTAAAGCGTTACACGAGATCGGGAGATCGGCAGATCACATCCATGGATGAATTCAAAGTGGATAATAACATCTACGATAGACTGAACGAACCAGCGGAGTGCAATAGTGGCAATATTTCTCCCTTGATTGGAGGAGGACTATGGAGTTAATGTGCATACTCCGTACGTCAATCTTTTATTCACTCTATTTCTATTTCTGGGCAATTTATTATTATTACATTTCACAATGTTGGGTGGAGAAGGGTAACTATGTTCTATATGAGGCAAATATGCAAATATGCAAATATGCAGTTGAATGTCGACTAGCGCGTTTAGAACTAAATATCCATCATTTCTTTAGAGTTCGGAGACCGTAGCGGTACTTTGTACAATTCCATGCACTTCTCCGGGTATCGCTGCTCGCATCAACGCTAACGTCATTGCCTCTCCATAGTATAGCCGGATTTCCCGAGTTTATCGGGTTTCATATCCCGGCCATTTCTCGCACCCGAGAGCGGCTGTGACTCTTATTCCCTCATATCTTATGTATGTTGTACAATATTATCCTCTGTTATGCGGCGGTATTGACTCATTTATAATTGGTTTAAATAGTATAATTAAAGGCTGCAAGTGGAGGAAATACGACATGCAGCACAGAAAAGACGTAATAATGATATGTATTATTATAGCCGAAAGCTATAGTTAGACCGGTCCACACTCATTTACCAGAGGAACGTGCCCGTTGAGTAGAATTAGAAATCAGAAGTCAGGTGGGCTATTAGAAATGGATATGGATATCCTCTTTGATTGATATATTGTATGAATACAAATCGAGTCTGTGTATTTTAAGCAAAAGCAAAAGACGAGCCACTCCGAACTGGTCTATGAAAGCAAACGCTCATAAAAAAAGACTCCGTAATTCCATAACTGCAACCAAGGCCGCAAAACAAAAAGTGAATGAGTTTTGTCGCCTGCATCTTTGTACATCTCATCAGCATCAGAAAGGCCGTTCCCGGACGCATTTTATGGCACAGTAACTGGAGGTCTATCTCGAACTTGACCCGGAGAAACCTGCATGGGAGGGAGAAGAAGTGTTGTCATCGGGTCCGACGTGTGAAGGGCCACCGCTCGAGGATGGGTCAGACAGTGCAGGTGGTGGTTGACATGCAGGTGATTTTGTTCAGTGGCTCCAGGTCATCGGTTTCGATTCGCGCTTCATATTCATTGAGGCTTGGCCAGTTGTGGCAGTTTGTCGGCCTGGTGCAGCAGCTTGTGTTGTTCCAGTACGCGTCGGTGCTCATATTTCAAGAGCTTGAACTGGTCGTCTAGTTCATGGTGCCATGGGTATAGGACGAAGACTTGGAATGCCAGCGCTGACGAGGCGACTCCGAAATTGATGAGAGAGATTCCGCGCGTGACCCACATGGTGGAGGATAGTGCGACTACTTGATCAGTAACTAGCTTGCGAATGTGTGAATAAGAGACTCACTGTAAAGAAAGAAATGTAGTTATTAGACGTTGGGTAGAGCGCCGAGGATGAGTGATGAGATGTAGAGCAGATGAAGAGCAGAGACGGGTCTTGAAGGGATATAAGTAGGAACAAAAGGGGGCAAAGTCGAATTTTCTCGTTCCTTAAATTTGACTTGCAGCCTTTTCGGTATAAACACAATTCGATTTCGGCAGGAACCCCGATCAGTGGACCTGCGAATCAACGCCCAATCCGGTTAGAGTGGAGAAAAAGTGGAGCCGTATCGTGGCGGCAAAAGGTTTCCCCGACCCAAATTCTTATCTGTCGGAGATGGATCGTATCAGTCGGATCCGAAGAGATAAGAAAGAGCAGTTCAATTAAACTTACTACTCACTGTGTTTGTGTCTCTTGGAACCTCCTAAGAAGAAATTGATCATCGAGAGTAAGTGATTCCTAAGTGTCTTGGACTAAGAATACTACTAATAATTGCTTCAGCCTTCATCACCCTCTCCCAGCCTCTATACACTGTCCAAGCCGACCACTACATCCAAAATGGACAACCAACCGAGTGTAACGCAGCAGCTGTTTGGCTGGGTCAGGAAAAACAAATACTCGCTAGCTGGCGCCACCTTCGTCGCCAGCATGGTCGGTTCCTTTGTGATGGTCGGTCGCAACCCGCATCTGACGAGCAAACAAAAGATCGTGCAGGCTCGTGTGTATGCGCAGGGGCTAACGCTAGCTGTCATTGTTTCCTTGGCTGCCCTTGACATGTCAGACCGACGAAAGCCAGCACCGCGGAAGGAAGCGGTCAAGCTGGCTGATGCATAGAACTGAGATCGGGATTTCCAGCCATCATAGACGGGGATATAGACGGTCAGATATAGAGATGTCGATATGTATTTGTATATTACAGCCTACAACATAGAGGTCTAACAAACCAGACAAAATCAACTCTTAGATGCGATGTCTAATTGTTCGGTACTCAATTAGACTCTCAAATTATGCATACGTTGAATTCGTGCATCTTCAAGTCATTGAAAGCGGTTCGCTTTTGATACGCATTGCTTGATTACAGCCAAGACGAAGACATATGCCTAGTAGCATTGTCGTTATATTAATTCCTCGGACCGAGGTCCTTCTATGACTCAGACGAACAGCGGTATCATCATGGCTTCGGCCGAGGTTGCTAACTATAGAAGGACATGGAAATCCTGTCTTGTGTGACGGGAGAATTGTATTCATAAGAAAGGAGCTTATAATACTTTGGAAAGAAGGATGTTTTGGGATGCGAGAAGCGCAAAGAAACATGTGAGAAGTCAGCTCTATTTAAAGATTTGCACGTGTCAAGGATGCCTATGTTGTACAAAGATATTTCATCAAACGAAGTCATAGAAGACTAAAGAGCAACAAAACATAGTTAGTCCGAAATCTAAACAACATGAAACCCTTTGTTCTATTATTATAATTCAATAATATATCCGAGATATCCATCAGCCCCTCTCTTCCATTGCTACCCGCTTAGCCGGACGATCTCCCTTTCTACTGCTTATTCACAGTAGTACCTGATTGAAGGGGGAATACCTCTTCTAATAGTCGACAGTAAGTAGCTTAGACTCAAAGACCGGGACAATGATGTCTTCGTACTCATCTCCGGGTATCTAGGGCCTAACTATACAGTATATATAAACTAAGACCACTAACATCCCAAAGCCACATACTCTGTTATTCATTCCATCTCATTATCCACTTTCTGCATATTCCCAACAATCATCTGCTCCTGTTTACCGCCCCAAGTATACGAAGCAGCCCTGACTTTCGCTTTTTCAGTCCATTGATCACGAGGGATGAAGAATCTGTGTAATCAGAAAGGGTGATCACTACAAACTTCGACCGGACCTCTCACAGTTTGCCATTTTGTTGACTTGCAAGGTATACCTGATGTGGAAGTTGCAAAACATCCTCCTGTTTGAGTGGTTCAGTAACACCCAAATCAAGAATAAACCATCTTTTAAGAGGATCCGGTGAGTTGAAGTCAGCTGGGATGTGGATGTGGTCGTAGCCCGCCGGGTGAAGTGTAGGATTGAATGCTCGATTCAAGATATTTTCACAGAAATCTTCCCCGATTTTGATATGGCGCCGTTGGGGGCAACCATCTATATCGGTAACGCAAGCATAAATGACTATCCTGGTGGGATGGAAACCCATATCGACAGTGAAGAATAAGGCGAGAAAGCCGTTTTGTTTGGATGTTGGAGAGAGTGGTCAAGGACCTTAGCTGTTGTTCCACTTCAGAGTAAAGCTAGATAGAAGCTGACTAGTTAATGATGAGAGGTTAGAATCTAGATGTCTCGTGGCTAGTGGGTTGCTGTGGCTGGTCGAGTGTGGCTTCCAGAAGAGTGCTCATGCAACTAGATCCATGCCGCCTTATGACCCTGCAGTCAAAACTACACCATAAATGGGATACGAATAAGAGCAGCGATTCAATCGAAGGTAAAACAAAGCTGAAACAGGAGTATACCGCCATCATCGATGTAACCGAACCGTGAATAAGCGGCGCCGATGATTGGATTTATGTCATCGGCGCCGATGTCGGAGTTGGTGGGGTTAGATCTTGAAATTCACACCCACCTTTATATTCTGAAGCTCCCTACCTGTAATCGAGTCAATCATTTCTCTTGATACTATTGCATAATGACTTCTTACAATATTGTTGTTTTCGGTGGTGACCACTGTGGTCCTGAGGTATGTCATTGAAACATTGAACGCTCGTGGGGAATCGAATACAGGACTGACATAGAATAGGTGACCGCTGAGGGTGTCAAGGTAACATTGCAAGCTGGAATTGGGAAAGCGCGGAATAGATGTACTAATTGAATTCCAGATCCTCCGCGTCATTGAGAAGTCCCGTGGTCTTACTTTCAACCTGCAGGAGCACCTGCTCGGTGGTGTGAGTATACACCACCTACGCGACAAAAACCAATGACTAACAATTACAGGCCTCCATCGATGCCACCGGCTCACCCTTGACCGACGAGGCCTTGAACGCAGCTAAGAACGCTGATGCCGTTCTCCTCGGTGCCATTGGCGGTCCCGTACGTCTCCATTCCCCCCTCCCACCCCGCACAACCAAGAACAAGCCTACTCACGCACTGCATACAGAAATGGGGCACCGGCGCCGTGCGCCCAGAACAGGGTATCCTCAGACTGCGCAAGGAGATGGGCACATTCGGCAACCTGCGGCCCTGCAACTTCGCCGCGCCCTCGCTAGTCGACAGCTCCCCGCTCAAGGCCGACGTCTGCCGCGGAGTCGACTTCAACATCATCCGTGAGCTGACGGGTGGCATCTACTTCGGCGAGCGCACGGAGGACGACGGGTCCGGATACGCCATGGACACCGAGCCCTACTCGCGCCACGAGATCGAGCGCATCATCCGTCTCGCCGCCACCCTCGCTCTGCAGCACAACCCGCCCCTGCCTGTCTGGAGCTTGGACAAGGCTAACGTCCTCGCTACCAGTCGGCTGTGGCGAAAGGTCGTCACTGAGATCATGGAGAAGGAGTACCCCCAGCTCACTATTGGTCACCATCTCATTGACTCGGCTGCTATGCTGATGATCAAGGACCCCCGTAAGCTAAACGGTATTGTTGTTACCAGCAACTTGTTCGGTGATATCATTAGCGATGAGGCTAGTGTTATCCCCGGTTCGCTGGGTCTGCTTCCCAGTGCTAGTTTGAGCGGTATTCCCGATGGCAAGAGCCGTGTTAACGGTATCTACGAGCCTATTCACGGTACGTTCTGTCCTCTTTGTTGCTTTCTGCCATGGGTTCTGGTGGCTAATTGGTTCTACAGGCTCTGCCCCTGATATTGCCGGCAAGGGTATCGTTAACCCTATCGCTACTATCCTGTCCGTGGCCATGATGATGCAGTACTCCTTCAACATGATCGACGTGGCTCGCGTGATTGAGCAGGCTGTGAGCAACGTCATCGAGGCTGGTGTCCGCACCGGCGACATCGGCGGCACAGCCAAGACTACCGAGGTCGGTGATGCCGTCGCCGCCGAGCTGGAGAAGCTGCTCAAGTAGATACAAAGCAGCCTCTTCGATGTTTCTATATGAGATATGACTAGCGTAGAAAACTAAAAAATTCAATACCCGGTTTAAAATGCAACATGTATTTCAAGGGCGAAAATATGCCTAATGATGTTCATTCGCCGGCCCAAACCCATGCAATCCCTGCAAAATAATTGGTATCATGAAGACAATGAAACTCCGATAATAAAACCTCCGTTGGCATTTTACAAACCAAACAATGCCGGTACTTTTGTTCCTTTAAAAAAGCCCTTATCGAATCACTGGCTCACCCATCCAATCCGGCTCGTCTAGACCGGTAGTAGTGAATCCAGTATCAGCATCTTCACTTGCAGTACGTCCCCGAAGATCATGAGCTCCACGTAGGGACGGACGACGGCGCCGAGCATCAGCAGAAGCCGACGGCGCAGCAGCCATCTTCCGACGACTATCATCACAAGCAAACACCTGAAATCCACGAACATGAGTATCCTTTCCGTTCTGATGGTTCTCCATAATGCGCATCTGGATAACCATAGCCTTGAGCACATTCCCCGAATAGGGATCCTCCCCATCGTCCTGGCTATCGGGCTCATCAATCTCATAAAACGGATCACACTCATCATCATGCTCATGACCAGGATCATCACAGTTCCGGTACACGATTGTGCGCCGACGCATACTAGCCGTAGATCGGCGTTTCGACTTCCCAGGGTCGTTGCGCACCCACCCACCGTTTCGACCGCCGACGCCCTCCAGTGGCACATTGACCCAGCCACATGGACCGTCACCTTCCCAGGTTGCGAACTCGACGAGGTCGTTCCCGCCCATTCCCGCTGCGAAAATCATCTTGGTGGGCGTGTAGCTTTCGTCGAGCTCGAAATCCAGGTATACGCGGATGCGCACGACTGCTACCAGTTTGAAGAAGTGGAGGGTTAATGTGTGCGGTTGTGGTCCGTCGGATTGCCAGTATTGGGCCGAGGAAGGGTTGCGGAGGGCCGCGACGCCGCAGCCCGGCTTGGAGGTGGAGACGGTCCAGGAAGCGAGCGATGAGATCTCACGCAGGTTGGGTGGTAAGGGGGAGGGTGATTTTTCTGTAGCGCGAGAATATTAGCTTGCAATGAATCGTAGCTGGGAGGGAAGTATGGGAGCGGGAATCAGTACCTCGATCGTGCATCTCTTGGTCGGGGTCCTCTTCGTCGAATTGGTCCTCGGCTTCGTCCTCCAGTTCCTCGTCCTCAATATCGGAGTCATCAAATTGCCCTTCAATGGCCTGATCGAAGGAATCGTCGAAGTCGAGGGGCCCGTCGTTCCCAAGCTCTTGCATGCTGTGCCCGCGCGGGTCGAAATCATCGTCAAAGTCGTCGTCATCCATCATTTGTGGTGGGAGTTGCTCTACCCGCGCTCTTGGTCTTCCAAATATTGTAAAAGAGTTTATTGGTGCCGCTGGATGTCCCGCCACGGCGACTGGGTCGGGGGTGAGATCATTTAGACCAGTGGAGGGGGGTTGGTGTCGATGGGTTGGGTTTGTGGGAGTGTGACGCGTGGGCGGGGTCTGGAATTGGGCCCGGAGGTTTCCTGGGGCATTGTCTTGGTTGGGTCTTGTGTCGCGCGGATTTGGTTGTCGGCGCAAGTGAGGCATGGTTGTTCCATAAGTTTGGAGTTGATGTTTACGCGCAGATCGAGGGGAGCTCCATTTCCTTTTGCGGTTAGCGCCATTTGGAAGCTACGAGAGTAAACAACAGACTATTTGATTCATTCAAATATGAATCCCACTAAAAGAGGAAAGCATGCAGGATGCTTTTCTATGCCATCGTTAACCACTGGAATTATAACGTTTATTGTGTTAATGAATGCCTTTATTTCAAGTTTGCAGTTTGACCTGTGCTATCATGTCCATGCATTTTGCACTATATAACCACATACATGTATGCAGACTATCTAGATCACTCCCCCTTGGTTGATACCCTGGGATATCTAATGCCTTAACACTCAATCTCAAGGTATGTGCCTTTAGTTATATATTATTGTATGTTAGACGCGCTAGTAGGTTGAATTCAAACCCAAGACTATAAGCTCCCTAAAAGCTCGCCTAAGCCTCGAATATAGTATTCATATTCCCATGAATAGCATAAGACATTATAGAACAAGCTGTGAGCTGTTTCATTTGCTAGCAACGCGGCAACATGTTTATCTTTCTTCTAATCAAGGTTTGCAAGATCCTCTTCTATCAATTGATAGAGTTCTCGAGTGATTCGCTATCTATCTACGGAGTATTTAAAGACTGGAAAGCCTCCTAGTCTGCAAGGATGAGATACGTCCTCGTGGAAAGCCTGTCTAATCTCATCGCAAGGCCTCCAATAATGGCATCTCGGCTCCAGCACCATTCTACGGGGCTTTGTTCTTTCACTTCAGCAAACTTGGGTTCGAACCCAAAACATATATTATCACGATACTCCGGACCACGGAATTGCCGTATCCATTTATTTTCAACCCCAGGAGAAAGTGGACCAGCGACTTCCGCAAGAACTTTGTATACGCAGCGCCAGTCCGGCCCAAAGTTAAAGTGATCCGCGTTATCAGGGACAGCCCACCGGGATTCCGCTTCAAATGGGTCTATGTCGATCCATATATTCATCAGTTTGTGCTCAGGCCGATCGCCTGCTTCGGGGATAGTATGTGCGCAGTGAAACAGGGGATGTGTGGTATGGAACATATTATCTGCGCGCTATCAAAGGGCATCAACACGGTAAGGCCGAAGAACTTAGAATAGTGCCGATTTCCTCGGCCGTAGGCGTATGAGACGGATCGGCATGATTTTCCCAATCTCTCCATAGGAATAAAGTTCAGGTCGAGAAACCCGACTAGTTTGTTCGCTACTGATCGAGTGTTTCGGTCGAGAGTAATTCCATTTACGTCAAGTGCAGGACCAGTCATGTCCTCCATGCTGAATATCGGCCGAGAAGCCTGTAGACAAGGGGTGACGGGTTAGTGTTAACGGGGCAATGCTCATGTGGCTGATGTTATTGGGAGGCTGTGCTTTTACAGTGGCGATACCGAAGTAAATAGATCAGTGCCAGTAGTGATTTTCGACTATGCCAACAGTGTTTACTCCGTATCTGTACCTTTTATATGGTCTAGTAAAAGGTACTCTTTCATATGGGTAGCAGACCCTCATATCGCGAGGTCTGTAAAATTCGTAAAAATATGTAAAGACTGATTTAGTCTCAATACAATAATAGACCGCATACTCCGTAGTCCGGATGTCCTTGACAGCCAACTAGAGATTGACACGGATTATAAACCGAATAATGATTCAACGGTAGTATCCTAGTGCGACAACATGGTATCCATTATAGCTCGCGTCACATGTGCCAAGTTCCAATCCAACACGTTCATGACATCGGTGTGTAGCATTTCGTAGTAAACCGGGATATCTAGCAGCAGCACTCGCAGCACTCGAAACAGGCGAGACCAGCGCAGCTGTTGTGAGAATGTCAGTCTCATTTCTTATTCTGGTTGAGTACGGCTCTCTAATAAGCTTGGAAGACTTACATTCCACAGCAGACATCACCACCTTCACCGCCACCGCGGAGTTCCATCTTCATGGACTCGGGGTTCTAAGGGTTAATTAGTTGTGATCGCAGAGAATAATAACCGGAATGCATACAGGTTGCTGGGAGACGACGTTGGTAGGAGACATGGCCTGGGTGTTGGAGGGCTGTTCCATGGCCATAGAGGCCGCATTCCAGGTAGGCTCCTGCTCCTGGGTGGGTTTGGACTCGTTGGAAGACTTGAACCAGCCGAACATTTTGGATGATTTTGAGAAAAGGGGGAATATGGAGAGATTCAGGAGGGGAAGTGGAAGATAAAGGGGAAAGGTAAATAAGCCGGGGTCAGCCGTGTTTCTATTGAAATTAAAGTCCTCCGCGCTAAGAATAAACTGAAAACTCTTTTTCCAGGACAGGCAACCGGATTATGGGCCGGTGGGGTAGTCGGGCTGAGGTCGGCAGAAGAGGATTACCGGCTTATGCGCTGGCTTAGAGGCTATGCTTAGCATAGCTGAAATGGGAGAGGTGACTTGTTCATGTGTTGTTTTCTAATGTAAAATGCCGGTAAGAAACATAAAAACTATATAGGAAACACTGGAAGTCCGTGTGAAATCGGACCTCGAGGATGGAGATACACCAAGCTTTTGGTCAAGCTTTGCGACAGCTTGGCGCATTTCTTTTCAGCCCTATTGTTCTATGACGTCTTCGCGTTGGTATGGGGTATCTTTAATATCGAATTATAAACATGTTAATGACCTCATTTTTATAATTATAAGTCTACATGTCTACTAAAGCGAAATTACCAAATTCAAAAATGCAGCGGCGCAAGCACAACCCTAATAACCGAAACCAAACGAACAAGGAGACACGCTCTTTCGAAATCACATCAACTATCCATGCAAATATTCCGGTGCATCTTATTTTTCCATACGCAGTATACAAATCAATAGGATATCAAGCGGACAGATTCTTCTCATAAAGATCAGCCAGGCCAAATGATGGGTCCCCGAGCAGGATATTCAGCTCAGCCTAGTCCAAATAGCGTACACGCGGACAGTATTTGATCGGCCTGGGAACAGCCAGTAAAGATCATAGTCCCAAGGCTGGATAACGTTGCACTCCTCATCCGCTCCATGGATAAAGCGTTCCATCGTGTAGCCTCATTGCAGACAACGAACAGGGTGATGCCCAGTTTGCAGCGGACCATGGTGTTCACTTCTTGCGAGATTATCTGGGGGCTACCGTCACCTGTGAAACACATCCTTCGTCAGCGCTAAGCACCCTTGGACGGTGTCCCGTCTTCGCGTACGGTGAGGGCTGTTCTCACCGCCGCCGACAATAATGTGTGAAAGGTAAAAGTTCCAACACCTTCGGATATTATGTCATCTTCTTCAAGTTAGGAGGAAATTAACTAACTATCGCTGTCAAATCCAGTCATGGTTTAATGGTTGAGAAACTACTCCGTACGTACTCGGGTTGTAATAATAAATGTGGAATGTATTGATCTCCATAATAAATCTCTGAGTGAACGCATTAAACATAAGTTGGTCTTATGGTCTAGCGGTTATGACTGTGGATTTTGACATCTTGTTTGGAATCTTCCACCGACCCCGGTTCGAACCCGGGTAAGACCTTTCATTCTTTTTTCTTTTGTTTTTTGAAATATAAAAACGATTCATTACAGCGTCTATTTTCGCACTTGTCCTTTTCAAATTCAGTAACTTTGCTTCTTAACTATACAGAATAGACATTGTGAAACCTACAGCCACAATCCTTATAGAGTTGTTACTTTTTTCACTTGGGCGAACATTCCCCGCCTATCCTCCTGCACTCGCTCATATATTTCATACCTAAATTAGCTGTATGCATCTGTGGGTGCAGGGTTTTGTGTGTGCTTTCCGCAAACCCATGATCGCTTGTTTACTCTTCTACGGAATTGGAAAGAGCGAGCGACGGGTTGACAGAACAGGAAGGAACGACCATCCCACATTAATATTTTCTTTCCTCTGTTTCGTGGATATATTTCCTATTAAGTGGTCACCTGACAACCAATTGGTCTTATGGTCTAGTGGTTATGACTGTGGATTTTGATATCGAATTTCAAACTTTCCATCGACCCCGGTTCGAGCCCGGGTAAGACCTCTTCTATCTTTTCTTTTTTTTTTTTTTTTGATTTGATGCCTGAGGTGGAGGGCAAAATAAGGCGGGAATCTGATCCCCTATAGTGAAAGAGAACTGTAAATAATTCAACTCAGCGAAATTATCAACAGTTACATCATTTTCGGCGATTTGTGTAAAGCTTGGCATCTAGCGGGAAATGGGCAACAAAATTTCCTATGGAAGCATTGTTTTCCACTGTATGTTGTACGGAGTACTAATTTTTTGCCAAGGACGTTGACCTAGAATTCTTTAACATTGGTGGTGATCCAAGGAGACTGATGGCATATATTGTCCTATTCCTAGAAAAGGCCCCTCGAGAAGGAAGTGGTCGCGAGAAGAAAGAGAGTTACACGTGTAGTGTGGACTGCGGGGCTAAGTATGTATAGGGTTACATCTATATTTTAGTCTAAAATGCATTATCCAAAAGATGACTATTGGTCCCTTCAGCTATCGTCGCCCTACTCTATCTTTGACTCGTCAGGTGCAGAAAATGACCAGTATGATGGCGCGGCCACGAGTGTCTCTTGGGGTTTTGATTTAGGCCACCCAAGATTTCACGACACTCAAAATCCGGTTTGTTGGAGGCCGAGGTTCATAGAATACTTGGTTGGAGATGTTGATCCCCCACTGACGCCAAAGCGCGGTGTTAGTGTTACCTCACTTATGATTGGGGATTTACATAACTAAATATGTACTGGATATAGTGCCTAATAAATTGGAGCAGCCTAGGATAAACTCCATGACACAATGGAGTGCATCTAACCCACGAGACATTAAAGATCCCCGCACTATAGAATGCTCGGCCCTAGATCGTCTCGGCCAACACTGCACCGAAGACACCACATTGGATACTTTATAAAGAGGGGTTGTCCTTCGCTCTCGCAACCCCCAACCACTACACAAATATACAAATATACAAGATGTCTATGACCATTGAAGACTGCACCCAAAACCGGGAGGGCTTCCCTCGTCCATTTCCGGATACGCCTACCAATGTTTTGGAGCAGTTTAAAATGAACGGAAAGGTGGTGGTTGTCACGGGAGCTGCCGATGGACTTGGCCATGCGATAGCGCAGGCTATGGCCGAAGCTGGCGCCCATGTTGCCCTGTGGTATAATTCGTAGGTTTTCCTTTATCCAATGTATGTAATCGGTTAACCATATCAACAGAAATGACGTCGCTATCGAGAAAGCCCAGGTCCTAGAAAAGGAACATGGTATAAAGGCATCCGCCTACAAGGTCGATGGTAGGCGGGCAGTTGGAGCTTTATGTCCATAGAAGGTGATAAGTGCTAAGCTTTACCTGCAGTTTCGGAGTCCAATCAAGTATCCGAGACGATTACCAAGGTCGTGGCAGATTTGGGCAAGATTGATGTGTTCGTTGCCAATGCAGGTAAGTTTCCCGCGGGTTGATGTATCGCAGATAGCTGATTGGAAAAGGCATGGCGATCTCCAAGCCTATCTTGGAACAGACTCTAGATGAGTACCGAAAGCAGATGTCCGTGAATGGTATGAAATCGTTCATTCAGCGAGATAAGATTGTGGTATTAACCAGGATTAGTTGATGGCATTGTGTATTGTGCTAAATATGCTGGCGAGGTATTCGCGCGGCAAGGTCGTGGCAATCTCATCATTACCTCGAGTATGAGCGCACACATTGTCAACGTGCCTACTGATCAGCCTGTGTATAATGCGACCAAGGCGTACGTCACTCACTTTGGAAAATCACTTGCCCGCGAGTGGCGGGATTTTGCGCGGGTCAATATCGTCTCGCCAGGCTTCTTCGATACAAAGATGGGCGCCGGTCCGTTCGCCCTCAAGGAGGCATACCGTATGTCGTCACTAGGAAGGCAAGGCCACGTGAAAGAAATCAAGGCATTGTATCTGTACCTCGCCAGTGATGCATCTACCTTTATGACCGGAAGTGATGTGCTTATTGACGGGGGATATATCTTGCCATGAGATGTTTAAATCAAACGGATTTGCAACGACAGGATCAACTACAAGTTGGTGGCAACATGCAATTTAGATGACGGTACTACGTACTCCGTACTGTTCCAACAATAAAGAATTGGCAATGAACTATTCAACGTCGGGCACACTCCTTGTGCCCGAAGGCGTTTTGCCCCGCTGTGTATTTTCAGGTACCGTTTCGATACCTTTTGTTTGATCGCAAGAGCATACCGAGCGCAGCTATAGCAAGGTCAATCTAAATCGAACCTTATCTCATCCCGGG